GCATGTTTTCCCTGTGTATGTGTCTCCGAGTCCAAAATTCCCCTTTATATAAAGAACACCCTTCATTATTGGCTTAGAGCCTGTCCTAATGACCTCATCTTCACTAATCACATCTGGAATGACCCTATTTCCAAATAAGGTCACATTCGGAGCTACTGGGAATTCAAAAGTCATAGGACTTGTGAACTTGGTGGGGGGAGGAGGAATGGGGGGAACACTACTATTCAACAGAACAACGAGTCACAGGATTTATGAATCTTGGAAGGACAAAATTCAACACATACAAACTTGTAATTCATCTACTCTCACACAGTCTTTCAGAGGCACCTGGTACCTTGTCCTTCCTGAGCAGTGTTGTATGGATGAACCAGTTCCATTCTCTCAGCCCTGAAGGAGTGTGTGTGGTGGGGGGATGGCAGGGCTTACCAAAGGCCTATAATGGTAATAGCGTCATTGGCCATAAGGGGTTGTAACCAAACGAGTCAAGCTTCTTCATGGTATGATGGGAACCCAGGAGCACTGCAGAGAAGTCAGGGGGGCCTTCGCATTCGAGTCCTTTGCGGTGAGTGGAAAGCTCCTGACCTTGTAATACCCCGTGGCCCCCAAGATCACAAGTGGCTAGCACAGGCCGGTTCCACCAGGGCCTGGCGTAGAATCCCGGAGCCAGGCAGCTTGCTCAGTCCTCATTCAGCACCTTGCCAACTCCTCACACCTTATTTCTTCTTTTGGGGTGTTTTTATTTGGTTTTGCCTGTATCCCTCACTGGACTATGAACTCTGAGCTTGAAGATAGTATTTTATTCATGTGTGTAATCCCTACAGCTCCTCAAGTAGAAACTCAATTAAATAGGACTTTTAAAAGGGAAAAGAAAGATATTATCATCTTGTCAGGAGGGTTGAGATATAATCACGCCCCAAAGCAGAAGAACGGCTACTATAAAAGGGCTCCTGTAGTTTCTTTTGGCAGCAGACTCGAGGAAGGTGACAGTCTGTTCTCCCTTGGCACCAAATGTCAGTGGTCTCTGAAAGGTTTCGTTTCGGGAAACCCAGAGTTGCCAAAGCATGGCCGTGACAATAGCAAGGTTTAAGAAGTGACCCATTCGATTTATGCAAGAGGTGCCGCCCTTCACCCATGCATCCCACCTTATGTGGACCAAAGCTCTGGGTCACACTCAGTGATCCCCAGTAAATGAGGGAGCAGAGTCCCCAACCTCAAGGAAGAGTAGGGCACAGTTCAAAGTCCTTGTTTTAAACCCCTTCCATTGAACGAGATCCACTCTTCAACGTGCATTCAGAGCCCGCCTGGCCAGGGTCCCCTTCCCTGCATTCCTGCTCTGCCCACTCACGTGTCCTCCCGGGGGCAGAAGCCAGGACTCTGCTGGAAACGTTTCCCACCCATTGCAGGACTCTGACCTGATCATTACTTTTCATTTAGAACAGTATTCCTGTGGCTTCTGGAATATGAGCTTGGGCCTGTGTCCATTTCCCTAATGTTCCCACTTAAAAGATTTCATCTGACACATGTGGGCCAAATAGCATCCAGTCATTTCTTTTTGCCCTGAGTCTTGGTCTTTTTTAATTCAGGTGGCCAAGCCCATGCAGGGAGGCTGCTGGATGGTGCAGGCAGATACCAGTGCTTCGCTAGCTAGGCACCTGGACTCCCAAGGAGCTCATGACTTGGCAGCTTAGAAAAGAAAAAGATAAAGATACAAATTATGAAAAACAAATACACATCTATCAACAAGTGAATCTAAAAATCAAGTGAATAAATAATCTGATGAACAGAATAAACTGGTGAATATAATAGAATTAGGGGCATAGAAAGGGAGTGGACTGACTATTCTCAGGGCGGGGAAAGGGGTGTGGGGGGTGCGGGAAGAGACTGGAAAAAAATCATACACCTATGGATGAGGACAGTGGGGGGGGGCGGTTTAAGGGCAGAGGGTGGGATAGGAACCGGGTGGAGGGGAGCTATGGGGGGGGGGGGGAAGAGAAACAACTGTAATAATCTGAATAAAGATTTATTTAAAAAAAAAAAAAAGAAAGCACATTAAGCAGCGGCGGGGGGTGGGGGTGGGGGGTGGGGGGGTGGCAGGAGGTGGGGTATAGGTGGTGGCATTTCTTGACCATCCTGCAGAAGCTGGGCTGTCGTAGGCATGCAGCCAGTGGTAGCACACTCAGCAGCAGCTTTTGCCCAGCTACCACTCTGGGCTTGAAAGTACTGTGCTTATTAGGGCCAAAGGAAGGGGACGTTGCACAGACTGTCCCTGTCCAGATCTCCTTGGCTTTCTATGCCTTTGTTTGTGGGGCGGCTCAGACTTCTCCAGTGGGAGTGCAGAGGTCACTCCGCACAGAGAACGTCTCCGTCCCCACATATGCATGTGTTTGAAAACATTACTGTTTTTATCTCTCTGCCACGAGTTGTAAAATTATGAGGTGCATCCATCCCTTGATGATCAGACTTGTGCTTGGCTGTTAATAACAGACTCCATTCATGGTGCAGTAATTGAGTTTGGAGCCCTAATTACACTGCTGTGCCCCCCGCAGGAGTGAACGGGGAAGCCCCGCTCCTGAATCCTGCCCTCCTAGGGCCTGCTTGTCCTGGCAAATCCCTTGGTTAATTTGTGGCCCAGCCTTACCTATGATAAGGGATACAGTCTTCCGTTCTGATCATTTTATCTTTTTTTCCCTATCTCCTTTTCTCTTTTACTCCTTTTTCATATTCATTTACCACGTGTACTGGTTAATAATGCGGATTTTTTTCAATAGATGGAGTTACACAAATGTTGATATATATGCGATTTGATATGTATGCTATTTTGTTGTATTGACAACAAGCTTCAAAACTTCATATGTCAAATTTTCTGAAGGTGTTAACATCATAGATATTTTTATGCTTAAAAATGTAGAATTTTGTGGATGTGAGGGCGATCTGGCTGCGACATCTGTCACCCCATTGATCTCCAGGGTTGATTCGGCTGATCTGGCTGGCTAGGCGGGTGTCCCCCTCCTCCCTCACCGATCCATGTGCGTCCCTCCCAAAAATGTAGAATTTTGTGCCAAAAAAAAAGCATTTGCAGGAAGTTTTAACTCATTATTTTGAAGAAAAGTGCTGCTGAAAGTTATCGTATACTTTGGGAAGCTTATGGTGAACATGCTCCATCTCAAGAGACTTGTGAACGCTGGTTTAAATGCTTTAAAAGTGATGATTTCAATGTGAAAGACAAAGAATGTCCAGGTCAACCGGAAAAGTTTAAAGACCAACAATTACAAGCATTTTTGGATGAAGATGCGTGTCAAACTCAAAAACAACTTGCAGAAAGATGAAACGTTGCTCAGCAAACAATTTCCGATCATTTACAAGCAATGGGAAAGATTTTAAAGGAAGGAAAATGGGTGCCATGTCAACTGAACGAAAGACAAATGGAAAACTGAAAAGTCATCAGTAAAATGTTGCTTCAACGGCACGAAAGAAATTATTTTTTGCATCAAATTGTGACTGGCAATGAAAAGTGGATTTATTTTGAGAATCCCAAATGCACAAAATTATGGGTTGATCCAGGTCAACCATCAACATTGACTGCAAGGCCAAATCGCTTCGGAAAGAAGACAATGCTCTGCGTTTGGTGGGATCAGGAAGGTGTGGTATTATGAGCTTCTAAAACCAGGTTATACCATTAATATTGATTGCTACCAGCAGCAAATAATCAATTTTGAACCACACTTTGACCATAAAACCACCAGAATGGGCCAGAAGACACAGCAAAGTAATTTTGCTTCATGATGACGCACCATCACACACTTCAAAACCAGTTAAAGACATGTTAAAAGATCTTGCCTGAGAAGTATTAAGCCACCCGCAGTATTCACCAGACTTTGCTCCTTCAGATTATCACTTGTTCCGATCGATGGCACACGCACTTTCTGAGCAGCACTTCAAAATGTACAAAGAAGTGGAAAACTGGGTCTCTGAAGGTCTGCCTCAAAACAAGAGAAGTTCTATTGGGAGGTATCCACAAATTACCTGAAAGATGGGGAAATGTGTAGCTAGCGATGGACATTACTTTGAATAAAGCACTTTTGATGTTTCTCTTGAAATTATTGTGTTTTCTTTGATTACAAAATCCACATTTTTAACTGGTACTGGATTTCTGCAACAGTCTTGTAACCAGTCTCTCTCCTCTTTCTCTCCATTTGGATAGGTATATATATTTTTAAGTTATTTCATAGGTTGCAAAATTGTGTTCCAGAAAGGCAATCACATTTATACTTTCACCAGAATTATGTATGAGTGTCCATGCTGGTGTCCTGCCATTCTCTCTCTCTCTCTCTTTTCCTCTCTCCCTTACTTTTTTCCCTTCTTTCTTTTTACCTTTGTTAATTTTCTAGACCCCCTCCCCAAAGAATCTTTTTGTTTTAATGAAAACTTATTTGGTTATTAATCAGGTTAAAACCTCCCACTCATCTCCTCATTGAACAATTGTATTTCCTCTTTGTGAATTTGCCTTTTGCTAATTTTTCTCTTGGGATGTTTGTCTTTAAAATTGTGTCCATCCACTTAGGTCAATCTCATGGCATTGTACTTATGTCAGTATGTTGCTGTGAATACTTGTTTGTACTTAGATGTCATATATTACAGTTATATGAAAGAATAAGCGTGTTTTATACAGCTAACAGCTCAGAGTGCAAGCCACTATGAACAGAGGGACAAGTATGGAGTGGGGCATGCCAGTCTGGGGAGGGGCTCAGGAGACTTTTACAGTCACTTATCCTTTTGTCTTCACAGTCATCCCACAGGCAGGTAAAGTAGATAAAGCAGGTATTTTTCCCATTTCACAATGACGTGTGCCAGGGCACACATGAATAAGATCTTCCAAGCCCCAATCCAGTTTTTCTACCATGTCACACTGATTCATCTGTTTATTTATAGAAGGCAAATAAAGCATTAACATATATCAAATATTAGTAATTATGAAACACTTTCTAAAAACTTTTGTATAGCATGAAGGCCCAGGACCAGGGCATTATGACTTGAAAATACCTTCAGCAAGTTCCGTCACTTCTTGTTTTCGATCCAAAGTACCTCGATTCTTGCCTGCTTGTTCAGTAAGTATTCTAAAAGACAGATTGTGGTTGTAAGTTTTATGGCCATGTGCTGGAGGGGGGGGAGGTTGTGAAGGTGGGATGGGGGTATTATATAACAATTCATGTGTGTGTGTGTGTGTGTGTGTGTGTGTGTGTGTGTGTGTGTAATTGCTTGTCAAGGCAGCAGAGTCTAGAGCTCAAATACCTGGCAAGCCCTGGGCCAGGTTCAGGCCCAGGTGGCTCCTGAAGACCGCAGCTGCATTGTGGGTCCAGCTGAGAGGAGTCAGCACAGTGATTAGCCATCCATGCTATGACCTGGGTGCTCTGTGGGGAAACGCCTTTAATGAATTGAGCAGGCAGTGGACAAGTGGCTGCCCCCTCCATCCAGAACTGTCTTTCTTTGTGTGTGTGGCTTCTAAGAGCAAAAAGGAAGAGCAGAAACATTATTATTGAACCCAAGGAGACCATGAGGGCATGCGCAATCATCCTGCCCTTAAGGACTCAGGAGACAGGGAAGAGGCGCAAGTCCACTTAGACATATAAAGCAGGTAGATTCTGGGAGTGTGTGAGAGCCTCAAAGACCCAGGGAAGACCAAGGAAGATCTCAAAAGCGTAACATGAAGTTTATGAACAGTGTTGTTGTTTTTTAATGCCTTTTAAAAGACAATTTTAATTTTCATGGCTTTGGTGTTTCCAGCCTGCACACAGTCTGAAAGTCTCTCAAACTTGCTGGTATATAACCAGATTTGAGGTAGTTGGGAGACAGGAATTTAAATCCCGCCTGTAAGGAAAGGGACCTACCCTGGGGGAAGGAGGCAGGGGAAGCTGGCAGTGGCTGGGAGAGGGTAGCCCAGGCGCTTGCCTTCAGGATCTGGTTCCAGAGTTGCGAGCTGTGCTGTGGGGTAATGCGGTCTTTATCTGGAGGTATGAATACTGAGGAGTCCCTGCCAATAAAATTAAAAACAGATGGACAACAGGAGGTTGGTGGATTCCTTACTCAGATCCTCATACCCTATCGGCATCGCCATGATCCGGATGCAGAATTTTGTTGGCGCTCACAGGGTTGAGCATCCCCAGGAAGCTGGAGCCATGCTAACCAAACCCCCAGGAAATGCTGGAGAAGCCAGAAGGGGGTTGCTGGTGTTGGGGCTGCTACTCAGTGGAGTGTCTCCCATTATAGGAAGCTCTTCATGGAAGCCAAGGACAACCAGGAGCTTCCTGGTGACAGTGAAATCAGGGCTGGTGGGTGGAGCCAGATGTTCTCAAGGTTTCAGAATCGTAATCGGCAGCCTCCTGAGGGGAGGTCTTGGTGGGTGAGTGGGGGGGCAGAGGGAGGGGCCGTGCAGACCCACAAACCTATCCCATGGGCGCGTTTTCCAGGACTTCTCCCACAGGCTGCTTCCTCATTAACAGCACTAATAAAGGCTTCAGCTTTTTTGACATCCGGCCAGGACTTGATGAGATTTCCAGGCTGCTCCTCTGCTTTTGGCAAAGGAAACATCCTGTCATTTAAAGCGGCTTCTGCAGGCAGCTGACCTCATCCAGGCCGGGCTGACTCTGTCCCACTCTCAGAGTAATCCAATTTCCACTCTCACTGTCTCCCGAAGAGATAACAAGCTGCAAGGAAGGAAGGAAATGACAAGAAGGTGATAACAGGGCTAGCTGGCGTGTGGACCGTGGAGCGCCTGTCCTGGAGGGCCTCCTGTGAGCCTCAGAACCTCATTTGATGGGGGAGGCCTGGGAAGCCCATGGCCCAAGGCGACACCGAGCCATTAGGGTTGGGGCTAGGACCTGAATCCAGGCCTATCTGACAATAAAATTCTTCCCTTAACCACACACACAGAACCTGGTGTCCCTCCAGCAACCCAAGATAAAATTCCCTTGGGTTTCGAGAATATGTGGGCACCCCAGCATGGAAAACACTGGCCTAAGAAATCCAAGTCGTAGTTTATGGAAATGACAGTCATTTGCATTTATCACCACACAACAGAAGCTTTGTTTAAACAATTGGCACAATAATTTCTTAAAGAATTTCATCAAAATGAAAACATGACTTTTAAAAAAGTAGAACTCATAGACCCCTTAGAATACGCTGACCCTGGGCCCACAGACCATGGCAGAGAAATGCCTTACGACTCGTGCTGGGTCAGCGAGAGAAACTCACGAGTTGGGGCTTCTGAGGTCAACCACTCAGGTGCAGAGTGCATTCTCTCCAACCCCTTACTGCTGGGGAGGTTCGCTAGGGGGGACGCCGAGGCATGCCCAGGGACACATTGCCCTGTGGGAGCGAGTGTGCCTTGAGCCAGAGGTGGCACGTGAGCTGCCACCCCCGCAGGTCTAGGCCCCGTTGCTTGCTTGTCTCTCAGCACCTGGTCAGCCATGGGGAGAGGGGGCGACAGGAGCAGGTCTGAGCACCGAGGACATGCGCCAGTGCAAGGGTGCCCGGGGCCTTGTCTCCCTCCGTGGGGTTTGCCGGCCACACCGGAGCCAGCGGCCAGGCTCGGCAGGCTCCAGGGTTTTGGTGTCACGCTCTCATCAGTGTCCTTTCCTGTTCTGTTTTCAGAAAACCCCGGGCCCAGGAACATACACATCTTCAGCACAATACCCCAAGCAGCCCCGGAGCATCGCCAGAATGGGGCGAGAACACAGTCTTTTCTTCAACAACACAATTGGCTTTTAAAATAAAGCCATCTTTGTGCTAAGCTGCGTTGTTTTAGCAAGTTATTGGAAAACTCTATTATGTTTACTCTTAGGAGGGTTTGAACACAGAACTGAACAGATTGCCCCAGTGACCACCCAGCCTGCTTACCTGGACTAGTCCCAGCACAACTTCCAGCTCACTCTCAAAAGTGTCCTGATTGGAGCAATAAGTTTTATGCTCAATCTGTTTATTGTCAGAGGTCGTCTTCCTGGAGAGTTTCCCGGCTGCCCTTGCAGCAGCTTAGACAGGCCCGATGTGTCCAGGCCGTGCTCTGTGGGCCTTGACCCTCGGGCTGGGCCTGGACTGCACGAGGGTTGCGATACCTCTCGGCCTCAGGGAGACTTCAGGGGGGTGGGGGGTGGGGGCGCATTCAACCAAGGCCAAGCTGAGCTTGATGGGATCCCAACAGGTGGTTCTTTCTCTCTCTCAACTCCTTGAAAAGAACAATATTTATTCAACTCCATGAGTATTTGTGGTTTCAAGTCAACACAAATATTTTGAGTATCTGCTCTGTGCCAGGTGCTGTGTAGGGACTGGGGAGTGGGGCTTAAAAAAAAGATGAAGGAGGCATGTGACTGAGTTTGGGGAGGGCTGTAGGGGAGATGAGGCCAGGAGGGTAGTTTGGGGTGGTCCTCAGCTGGAGGGAGGCTTTGAACGCTGGGCCAAGCAGCTCCTTCTGGTGCTGGGAGCTCAGGGGCAGTTTCACCGAGAGGACAGGCCCTCGTCTCAGAAAGCTGGTGCCCAGAGGGACAATTTCTCCAATGAAGGCCCAGGCGGTCAGAAGCAGGGACAAGGCAGCATGCGGGAGGACAGCCAAGGGACCAAGAGGCTGAGAGGCAGGGAGGAGAGGGAAGAAGGTGGCAGGCAAGGAACCTGGTTTGGACAAAAGGCAAGGATAAACATTTGCATACTTACCCGGCAGGGGAGACACCATGATCACGAAGGTGGTTTTCCCAGGGCGAGGCCTATCACACTCTGGATGTGCTGACCGTTGCCGTTTACCCAAATGTGGGACACTTGACTGCATGATTTGTGGTAGTGGGGGACGGCGCAAAAGGAATAAACATTTGCTGGAGGGGAACAGAGGGAGCCTAGCCTGGCCGGACTGGCATGGAGGATGGGAGGGGGTTGGGTGAGGTTCGGTCGGAAGGCCGGGACCACAGGCAGCCGCGCATGCCAAGGAGGCCTGCTCAGGGAGCTGCGCTGGAGAGATGGCACACATGAGAGCTGGGGTCTCACAAAGGGTGAGGAGATTCCAGTCACTGGTCAATAATTGGAAGGAACTTTAAAAAATGCTTATACAATAGTTTGTTATATTTTAAAAGGAGTTTGTTATATTTCTCTAGTCTTGTAAATGCTTATCAAAGGGTATTGGGGGCAAGGAAGGACAGGCCCCATCTCACTGAATTCATTTAAATTTCCCATTTGAGAAGAAACACCCAGCATTGCATTCCTTCAGGGCCTAAGAGCCACTGGGAGATCAGAGGGGTGTGCAGGCGCTGGCTCCTGTCCCACTCAGAGCAGAGGGTGGCCCAGGGCAGGTAGTTCCGCCTTTTATTCTCCAAGTGGGTCAGAGTCTCCGCTGGACCAGCTGGTGCTGACAGAGGTGTTTTCTCCAGTTGCACCTGGTGCTCGGGGAAGTGGTTCGAGAGAGAGGCGATTGTGTCCGTCTGAGAGGCTGTGGATGGAAGTTCGAGGAACCCCTCACAACAACAGGGGAGGAGGGCGATGGTGTTGTCAGTATGTAGGGGTACCTCCCGACAAGACTGTGGGCCAGGGGCTGGCAGGAACCACTTCTCTCTCCCTCTGTCTCCCCTCTTCCTTTCTCTGAGGCCTCCTCCCTCAGCAGGCTGACTTCACGGCCTCTTTAAGGTACAGAATCTGATGTAGCCACCTTAGCCTTTTCTCATATCATTTCCTGAGTCAACACCCTGAAAGGATGCAACCAGCTCTCTTGGTTCCAGTATTAGATTTTCAGGAGACAGAATCCAGACTTGGGTCAGGAATCCACCCCTGGGCTCTCAGCTCTGGCCAGAAGGGCCTACCAGGGGTGGGCAAACTTTTTGACTCAAGGGCCACAATGGGTTCTTAAACTGGACCGGAGGGCCGGAACAAAAGCATGGATGGAGTGTTTGTGTGAATTAATACGTTAACACTGCTGCTGGTGAAGGAGCGGAGGGGAGAGCAAGAGAACCCTCCGCTCTTTCGGCTCCGCGGGCCGGATAGAACAGCCCGCGGGCCGTAGTTTGCCCACGGCTGGTAGACCCTCGGTGCAGACCAGGCTGCAGGGCCCAGCTGCGTGGTGTGTGTAACTGGGTGGAGGGCAGCTCCCGGTGTCCCAGGAGAGAATGAAGACCATGCAGAAGGAGAAGGTGTCTGACTGGCCTGCAGATATTCCAGAGGTGAGACTGCAGGGCCTTCTGGACACCCTGGTGCATTGGGTCTGTTCCCTAAGCTTTGCCTTGGGTTCCCACGACATCTGTCTGCCTTTGTGGAGCTGGGGGACCTCGGCCCTGTCGTCCTCACCAGTGCCGCCATCTGGTCTTAATGCAGCCCCACCCTCCTGGGTGTTCGGGGGCTGTGACCGAGACTTTGACCAGGTATTCACTGAGGTGCTGGCAGGATCTAGGTGGTGAGGAGAATGTTTTACTTCTCCTCTTTGGCGTATTCCAATATTTTATAGAATTTTATACAGTTAGGGAGAGGCTCTCCCAAAGAGGCCAGAGGGATTCTGGATGGCTTTCTCTCTCCACGAGCCTAAAATCGAGACACAATTTGAAGAGCAGGGCTCCTCCTGTCCTTGCCAAGATGGAGAGACGGACAGACCTGAGTTGACCTCAACCTTGAGCTCTGAGATTGGGATAGTAACACCTGTCAACTAGGGCCATTGTGCACATCAAATGATATGGCCACAAGGGCTCAGCAAAGCCTAGTGCAGATGGAAGAGACTTGCATCCTAAGCCCCAGAGGCCTTCCCTGCAGGACCCCTCCTCCCTCCTCCATTGGCTGCTGTGACACTGGCTCCTCAAGATCCCTGCCTGGCGTCCCTGAGCAGCCTCTGTTCCTCTCTCCTCTGAATTTGGCTTCAACCAAAGGAAATGGCTCTTCTTGGCTGCAAATGTCTTCTGCTATTTCCATGTGAAATTCCTCTCCATTAAGTCAGAGCATGTCAAAAGTCACAGCACTGCTGGGGACAGTGTGTCCTCCCCCCTCCCTCCCCTCTTTCTCTCCTTCCTCACCCCCACTGCTTTCTGGACCTGCAGGTGACACCTTCCAGACCCACAGGCCGAGGGCCACAGGCTGCTTAGGTGACTGGCCTTGCCTCCAGCATCATCTCTCACCTGCTGGATGCCACCTACCGAGATGCAGCAGAGAGCTGTCAGGGCTCAGGTCCCCCATCTTAGGATTGCTTTGAAAGCCCTGTTATCTTGAAAATACAGTTCAAAATCTACAAGTTCAGAATCAGTGGTTCTGAGCTGCATTTTAGAATCCCCTGGAGAGACTTTAAAATTCTTGGTGTTGTCAGCGCCCAAACAGATCACATCAAACTCTCTGGGGGTAGAACTCAGGCCCAGTTTTTTTTGTGTGTTTTTTTTTTAAAACTTGTCCCCCTCCCCCACCCTAGTTGATTCCAATGAGTGGCCAAGATTCCAACCACCCTAAGATGGTGTGAAGGCACCAAGCACCAATAACTCTGGGTGAGGGCACAGGTAGTTCTCCTACCCCTACAGGTTTATGAGCAGGGCCCTTGCCCTAGAGGACCCTCTCCAGGTATGAAGAAGAGAGTGACCTGCATTAGCATCTGAGTCTAAAGGAAAAAGGATGGTGCAGGGCCAGTTTGCCTAGAGCAGTACCAGGTAGAGGTTGTTCTGGGTAGAAAGGACAGCAGGGCCCTGAACCCAGGCACCTCTTGCCAGCCTGACCCCTCTCTGGGCTCCTCACAGATCTCTGGTTTTGGCCAAAGGCATGGCTACTGGCTTGCCCAGCCTGCCAAGCCCAAAGTGCGTGTGTGTTGGGGTGGGGTAGGGTGGGGGGTAGGGTTGGGCTCTGGATTCAGGGCTGCAGGGGCCGGGTGGGCTAGTGGGGGCCAGCGCTGGAGACCCAGACCTTGCAGAGCTGATCAACAGCCTCCCTAGAGAAGAGGCCACTCTGGCAGGGGGAGTCCAGGCTGAATCCTCAGAGGCTGGTGAGTAAGAAAGGCGGGCCTGGCGGACAGGCAGGAAGGAGGAGTGGCTGGAGGAAGGGGAGGCCCAGGGGGTGGACACATGGAGAATTGTCTCCCAGGGGGTGCTCCTTGCTGCCTTGTTAACACCCTTGGCCATGTCAGATCCCAGAAAAGGTGTCACCCTTCTGAAGAGAGGGGGCGGGGGGGGGGGGAGGGGTGGGAGAGGCCCAGCCAGCAGGGGAGGGAGGTAGCAGTGTGGCTGCTTTGGGTGGGAGTGTGGCTTAGTCCTCGAGGACTGTGGACAGGAAGGTGTTCCATGACATTGCAACTCTGGTCACCAGAGTGGACTAGGCGGAGCAGGTGGCAGGGGCAGACAAGGTTTTCTATGCCTTACCACACTGGGACTGAGCGGCCCGGGAGGGGTCAGGGTGGGGCAGCAAGGCAGGGCCCTGGGGGCTGTGCAGGTCACAGACAGAGCTCAGTGTTGATGAGGGCTGGCCACTACCCCTGCCTCCCTTTTCTGAAGTCTCAGAGCTCAGAGGTCCTGCCTGGTACCCGAGGGCCATCAAGGAGAAAGGAAGTGGCTGGAGCTTCCTTTATGCCACAGGGCCAGAGGGGACCCCTGGAAGCGTGCCAGGCAGGGTCACATCTGCTTAGGCTTCTAATCCCCAACCCGTCCTGGGCTGGCATGGGAGCTGGACCGCAGAGCACTGCTGAGCCCATTGCCCAGGCCTGTGCCTGGGGCAGTTCTTTATCCAAACCGTCTGTATCAGTTTCCTGTGGCTGCTATAACAAATTACCCTAAACCTTGTTGCTTAAAACAACACAAATGTATTCTCTTACAGTTCTGGGGTTCAGAAGTCCCCAAATCAGTCTCACTGGGCTCAAGGCAAGGTGTTGGCAGGGGGGTTCCTTCTGGAGGTCCCAGGGAGAATCCATTTCCTTGTCTTTTCCAGCTTCTAGAGACCATCTGCAGTCCTCTCCTCAAATCATTCCAAACTCCTGCTCCCTTCGCTTCTGGTCCTGCCTCGGACCCTCCTGCCTTCCTCTTTGAAGGATCCTCTTGGTTACATCGGCTCACCTGGATAATCCAGATAGTCTCCCCGAGGCCTTTAACAAAACCCCTTTACCATGTAAGAGAGCGTCTTCACAGGTCCTGGGAATTAGGACGTGGACACCTTTGGGGGGATGTTATTCAGCCTCCACGCCATCTATCTAACCTGCAGCTGGAATGGGAGTGAGGCGTTCTGCTGCTGACACACTGTCCTCCCGGTGGCCCTCCGTGTACCCCAAGAACCCTCCCCAGTCCTCTCCAGGCTGTTGGGGGCCTCTCACCGGGGCCCCAGCAGCCCCTGATCCTCGCCTGAGGCCAGGTTGCACTGTGGGCTCTGGGATCGCAGTGGGTTGCCATCAAGAGCTGGCAGCACGGGCTGAGGGAGGTTTCGTTAACTGGCTGGTTCCCAAACAAGGCCAAGAAATATTTACATGGTGACGACATCTGAATGCCCGGGATGGGGTACAAATGAAACAATGAGCACTTTGGTACCAGAAAGGAGTCTGGGTGGTGGTGGCTGAAATTCCATTCATATTTGTGCCTGCAGATAAACACTATTAATACTGAAGGGCTCTGTCCTGGAGAGGGATGGGTGGGCCGGAGGTCCGTGGGGGTGATAGTGCAACGCGAGTCTTGTCCCCAGACTCCAGCCCTAGTTCTGACACAGTGGGTTGGACACAGGGCTGGCTTCTTCCTTCTCCAGTGAGGGTTTTTGTGTGAACAAGGGGTCTGAAGACGGGGGGTGGGGGGGATGGGGGGGTCAGGACATGTCTCCACCCCTGCCTGACTTTAGCGTCTGACCAACTTGAGGTCAGCTCAGCAGAGCCCTCATTGAACAGGATGGCCTCCATCCACTCTCTTCCTTGGAGGATGAGGCTTCTAAAACTCCACCAGGCTGGATGGTAAGGTACCACCACCTCACCTGTGGCCTTTAATTTTCACCCCGGGGGATCGCGAGCTGGGGGTGAGAGTATGTGACAAATAATCTGGTGCTAATTGTTAAATCACTGAAGACGGTGAATGTGTTTCCTTAAAAGAAAGCATCACAGCAAAAGAGAAGTTGGGCCCTGGCCTGGGTGCCTATTAGTTGGAGCATTGTCCCGTGCACAGAAGGGTTCCGGGTTCAATTCCCGGGCAGGGTACACACCCAGGTTGTGGGTGCCATCCCTGGTGGGGCACGTACAGGAGGCAACTAATGGATGTTTCTCTCTCACATCAATGGTTCTCTCTCTCCCTCTTCCTCTCTCTAGAAGAAAAAAAAAAGACCTTGGGCACCTAAAGGCTCCAAGACAGACCCTCCTTCACTAGGACAGCAAAGCCGTAACGGAGAATAGAACTGAGGGTCGGGGAGGCCAGGCCACAGTGAGGCCAAGGAAGCAGGAAGCTGGTCCGGGCCAGCCCCAAGTTCTAGGGAAAGCCTCAAGGGCAGCCATCTTCAAAGTGGGCAGGTGCAGCCTTGGGGGTGCACCAGATGATCCCTTGGGGTACACGAAAAAAACCGAGCTCCCGTGTAAATTTATGTCACCTTTCAAAATGTTCATGCACACTGTACAATACATGTAGGATGGTATGTGGTACAATGTATAGTAGATGTGGATTGTTACCGACTTCTCAGCGAAGGCGGCCAATGTAAATGCGGCCTGGATGCTCACCACACCCCTCCCCGTGTGTCTCCCCCATGTGCCGTGCCCTTGGGACAGTCTCTGTGCAGATTGCCAGTCTGGCCCTGGACTCTCCAGTTGGCCAGATAGGCAGCAAGGGGTCCAGGGCCACCTAAGGCAGCGGTCATCAACCTTTTGGACCTCATGGGCCACCAGTGGTCTGTGGACTACCGGTTGGCGACTGCCGACCTAAGGGACAGATGCCAGTCCAGAATGAGACCTACTCTAGCTGGGCCTGCCGGACCCTCTGCCTCCCCCCACGCATCTCCAGGTTTCAGCCTGACCTCGAGGCCCGACCCAGCTTCCACCATGCTCATCCTCTCACTGGCTCAAATCACAATCCCCTCAGCGGGCCCCTCCCTCCCCTCCTCGCTTCTCTACCCCCCGCCCCCAGCTGTGAGGCCCAGGCCTTGGCCTTCATAATTCCTCGGGCCTCTCTCCTTCCGAAATACCTGCTCCGGCTCAAGGCCTGTTCTGGGGCCACCCGCGCTGAATGAACACATTGCTTCAGACAAACCTGCTTCCCCATTCAGGGATCTCTTTATTCAATCAGCAAACTGTCAGCAACTTGGCCCAGCCCGTTAAGACCTCCTCTGAGGGCATACAATCAAAATGCATCTGGTGCCTTTCTTATTACCAAGAACTGACTACCAACATCTTTGGGGCCCCCAAGGCAATTCAATGGCATTTGCTTTGTCCTGTTTCTTTTTTTTTCTAACAGAATTCCAGAATAAAAATAGAGCTCTATCATATATATATATATTTATACACACACTTACATATATTGAGATCCTTCAACCAAGTGGCAGAGGATCTGCTGCTCTCCGCAGCGTTGCTCACCTGGCGGAGGCCAGGAGGCGCAGGCTCTCCCTGGGAAGCACCTGGGGGTGCAGTGCTGAGCCAGTGTAGCGAGGAGGGTGGGCCTCCCACAGAGAGACTGGGCTATGACAGACCCGGGCAGTCCTTGCCTGGCCTTTCCACACATCTTAAAATGAGAGATGTACCTAGAGCTTTAAAACTAAAACCCAAAGTGCTGATAAAAAAAGAATGCCCCTGATAGGCCTGTGTGGGAGGGGGCCAAATTCTTGGGGACAATCCCAGGAGCATCTTGCAGCAGGCTGGGGGAGCAGCAGGAAAGACACCCACCACCAGCACCCAGGACCCCTGCGGACATAGGTGTCTAGTATCCAGAGGCCTGTTCAACCAGTTAGGAGGTGCCGGGCAGAGACAACCAAATGACCAGGGTGGGGCTTGGGTTGCCCAAGAAAGCCTGAGGAATGGGTTGTGGGTGGTGAGATGAGCTGGGGACAGTCCTAGAGACTCCCATCTCCAGAGTGACGTGCATTGTATACCTATTGCCCAGAAAGGTAAGGCTTGAAGGAATGTGCTGACGTAAGCTACTAGAAAGGGCTGGGTCCAGCAGCCACGTTTCTGTCCTGAGGCCCATCCTGGGGCTGTGGCCTGGGGTCTAAGCAGGCTGCTTCAGCTGGGGTGTTTCCAGGAAGATGGAGATGGATGGAAATGGAAGGTTAGTTAAGGCCAGTGCTGTGTCGCTGGCCACAAGGTCACCTGGCAGCAGAGGGGTGCACAGTGGATCCCAACTGGCCTCGTCAGGCAAAGGTCAACGCCAGGCATTATCCACTAACTCAGCCTGGGAGAGGAACTCAGAGGTCCATCTTCTTCCCACTTACCAGTGGAGTCAAGCTGTGACTGCTCTGGGCAAGACCTGAGAGTGATCCAAAACCCTGTCCTGAGACTGGGGCATGGGACCAGGGCTGCGGGCTCCCCAAGGCACAGAGGCCCAGGGGGGTGAAGGGCAGCTGTGAGGCTCTCAAGGAGCAACTCCAGTCACCATGACTCTCCCGAGGCACCACGGGAGGAAGCCAGGAAAACCCTTGGCCCAGCCAGAGGGCAGCTTGCAGGGTTCGTCTTTGGTGCTGGAGAGCAGAGAGCTGAGGTTCGAGACTAAAGCTGGTGCAAAGCCGGGAATCAAGGGTCAGGGATGTTGAGGGAGGGTGGCAGGTATGGGATAGAGGTTTCCAGGTGGGGAGGTAACCAAGACACACAGACCTGACTACACATTTAGATGCTGCACAGATACTCTGGGGAGGGGCCCCCATGTTGATGTGGCCCCCCAGCTACTTCCTTGCTCATAAACACCACAATGTCTGAGTCCCAAAGAGCAAGGAATTTGCTTTTGATGCAAATCTGGTCCACCCAGCTAGATGAGCAGCTCTCAGACCCAGCTGGCCCAGGAAGGGGAATGCAGGGTGGGGTGGGGGAGGCGAGGAGAACTAGGGCTGCAGCTTGCAGAAGTGTTCCCTAGAGATGTATTTCCCTGAGGTCCTATTCCTCCCCCAACCCATGCTCCCTGCTTCCTGCCTGGCCCCCCCCATCCCCTCCAACGGGGCAGCCCCTCCCTCCCTGCTGCTGCGGGGTGTCAGAGCTCTCTGGGGATGATGGAGAAGGGCAGCACCGGGCTGCTGGCCTCCAGCTCCAGGGCGGTGAGGAAGCAGTCGATGGCGGCCTCGCTCTGGCCCTGGGCCTGCAGCACTTCGCCCAGGCCCTGCCATGCCTCGTGACAGGTGCTCTGCCTTTCCACGGCGTCCCGCAGCACCTTCTGGGCCAGGGGCTTGTGGCCCAGCCGACTCAGCATCAGACCCTGGGAGGCAAGCACAGGGCGGGGGTTAGTGAGGACGTCCTGGGCAGGGCAGGGCAGGGCATCCTGGCGATCAGGGCAAGGAACGGGTGTCTCTGGCTTGGATTTGGTCAAGTGACCGTGCCCATGACTAATGCAAATCCTACCGGCCCCCACCACAGACCCGCTTCCAGCCCAGCCTCCCAGATCATGCGCTCTGGGAGCTGTGTCCCTCCTGACCCCAAAGGATGGTCTTCCAAGTCAGCAGACCTGGCTCTGAGTGTCCCCCTGACCAGCTGGGAGATCCTGGACAGGCCACCACTCTCTGGCCCTCAGTTTCCTCATCTATAAACAGGAAAGACCACAGTAGCCACCTCGGGGGTTGTTGTGAAGTTTACACGAGTCAGTTTACGTAAATACTTGGACAGTGTCTACCTGCATGAGTCTAGTTAATGGGTCTTTCTCCCAGCCTTGCTGCCACGCTGCCCTTCTCCCCAGGGACCCCGCGAGATACAGAATGTAAGCTGCAGGCTCCGGCTTCTGTCAGCTGGGGGGAGGACCTCAAGCTTGTGGGCGGGTGGGGCAGCTCCTTTGCCGGCATCAGCAGACGTTCTTCCTAGGGATGTCTAGGTCCTGGGACCTAATGTCCGTCCCAGGCTGGCCTGGCAGGTGAGGGTCACCGACAGTCAGAGAGCCGGGGACCAGGGATGGAGGCTGAGTGAAAGGATTCTGGGAGGGTAGGTCAGGGTGGCCAGGAGCTTGGCCTTACATTTGGCTCCAACAACCCTGTTGCCAGAGAGATATAGGAAGTGACAGGAATTGTCACAAAAAAAGGGTTGGGAAGAGAAACTGGCACCCTGCCCCTCTACGTCCACTTCCACCCACACGGGAAAGGGTGCAGGGAGCTAGGGGGACAGGGTGGTGAGCAGAGGGAGGGGCCAGGGCCTGGTTTTGGCCTCTGTTCCCATAAAGGCTTCTCTGCATCATACCGACTCACTGATCTGTGTCCCAGCCCTCAAAGGTGGCAAAGGATAGCAGCACGGGGGCGGGGGAGAGGGAGGGCGCTCCTCTCGTTCAAAGGTACGAGGTACGAGGTAACGCAGGAACAACACTGACTTCCTGGACAGGCGGGGCCAGGGTGGGGTGGGGAGCTGCCTCCATTGTGCCCGGAGCCCCTCTCGGGTGCCCGCCCACTGATGGCCATGTACATTTTTAGCTGGAACATTTTCATCCTCACCACGCTCCCCAGAGTTAGGCCCTCCGTTGCCATGGAGACCCACTAGGAAAGATGCACATGCCTGATTTCATAAAGTCCTCCGAGAGCCTGGAACATGACCAATTAGGCAAGAGAAGATGGCGCTCAGGAAGCCCTAGTAAAGGCTCCCCCCCCCCCCCCGGCCCCCCTGCTGGAGGCGCTGGCTGGGGGTCCTGCCGCCAGGGGCTAGGAAAGGGAAAGCGGGACGTATTCAGTCTCCTCAACCCCAGCTGAAGCCATCGCTGGGAAACCACAGGGATGAGGCAGAGGACAGGGGAGGACAGGGGAGCTGTGACAGGCGGAGCCTCAGGCGGGCCCCCGCTCCGGCTCCGGCCAGATGGGAGCGGTGCTGACTCAGGGCTGCCTGGACCAGAGGGCTGTGCCCAGTCTGGCCAGCAAGGGCTCCAGGCCAAGCTGTTCTGCCCGCAGGGCCTGGGAGCTGGACCCTGAGCAGCTCACAGGGAGGAGGGAAGGAAGGCGAGATGACAGGCTGCCAGACGCCAAAATTAAGCACCAAAAATGGAAGGTTTGAGCCCTGTGAGTGCTGCCGATGGGGGAGCGACAGAGGACAGACGGGGAAGGCCCGCCAGCAGATCTTTACACACTAAGGTTGCTGTACTGCGCTTCCATATGAGACTCTGTTTGAAAAGAGGGCTCTGTCTGAAACTGAGTTTGCAAACCCCTGATCCCAAGGAGCGTGTGGGGTTTGGGAAGGGGCCAGGTGTGTCTGCAGGCTGAACAGGGCTTCACGCATGTGTGGGTGCTATTCTCGGTTTGGGTGCGCAGCAGGCCCGGCGTGCTCAGTGCAGAGGACAAGTCAGGGCCCCACGGCCACAGGAACCCCAGCCCTGCCCCTGACACGCGCAGTGACCCTGGGCAAGTGGCCCATTTTCTCTGAGCCACGGCTTCCTCATCTGTAAACTGGGGAACAGAAGAGTCCTTCCTCCTCGGCTACGGTGAGGAGTCTGCAATGATGAACTTGAAATCGCGGAGCCGGGTGGGGCACATGGTGGGCAGATGGCAAATGGAGTGTCCCCAGGATGAGCAGAGAATCCTGGGAGGGGGCGAAGGGGTGGAACAGCTGATTTCTCTAGAGGGCAGGGCTCTCTGTGGATCACCCCCCCCACCCCCCGGGGTGCTGACCTTAGAGCCTGAAAGGAGACACCGGGCTGGGGTCAGGCTGGGGCCCAGAGGCCCGGGGCTGGTAACAGGATCTGCTGCCACCTGCCCGAGACACCAGCCTGTTCATGTTTGGTAGCAACTCGGAGCTGTTTGCTGCTTGACAACTGCACAGAGCCCACCCCAGGAAGACTGTAGGGCTCACCTGCTCTGCCCCCAGCCTGCACTGCCATGAGCCCGGCACCCTGCCCCCAGCTGCCCAGAGAATGGGTCTTCAGGGAGATGGAGGGACCACAATTCCATTCAAATATCCTGCGGACTCGTCCCCACCCTAACCAGGGGCATCCTGAATCCAGAGAAACCAGACCTGCTGGTGACCCTCACTTGGGAGAGGCCACAGTTGTGCTGCCCTCACACAGGGATCAGAAAGGGCGTGCAAGTTGCTTAAGGGATGGAGAGGGGCCAGGGGTGCTTATAGCCGCTCAGGGAGGGGCAGGGGAAGTCCCAACAATTCCTGACTTCCTCCATTCCTTCCTCCCTCCCTTCTTGGATTCCAGGGAGGGGGGAACATCTGGCCACATCTCATCTACCTGGGACCCTGCTCCCCAAGACGCATTCCCCGAGGACAGCAGCTCCTCCTGCCCACACACCACCTTGACATTGTGCTGCGTTACTGTGGGATCCAATGGGATCCCTGACTTCCGACGCAGCTCGGGTGCGAGGGCCCTGGGCTCAGAGCCAGGCACACCAGAGGCACTTGTGGGTGCTCAGTGACCTGCTTAGGGCCTCTGAGGGGGGCCGTCTCTGTTAGGAGCCCAGGTTTTCTGTAGAGTCAGGGACTGCAGCCTGGGATGGGGATGGAGAAAAAAGATCCTGTCTTATTTTTTCAGAATTGCCCCTGCACACGTCTCACCCCATTCATTCAGTGCCTGACACTGTCCCAGAGGGGAGGGGTGGCAGGAAGGTCCGCTGGCTGCGCCTGCCTTTTTCTCCTTTTGGGGGTGGCCTGCCCTGGGAAGTAGTCCCCAGTGCTAGGCCAGCTGCAGGCCATGCTGAGAGCTCCCTCCCCGCCCCTACCCTCAAGTATTTATAGAAGTTATTTTGGGAATTTTCTTTCTGAGCTCAAGGCACATTCCTGGGATTCTGTCACAACCTCTCCAGCTGGGAAGCCGGGAATCAGCTGGAGGCTGCTGGAGCCTCTTGGTCCCTGCAGCCTCCTGTCTGGGGAGGAGCCCCTGGTGGGGTCACGTCTGAGGCTGCTCCACAGGAAGGCTCCTTCCCTTCACCCAGCCTGGGGGCTGACACGCCCAGCGAGGGAGGCCCGCATTCCTGCACGCTGGATTCTCCCAGGTGTGTCAGCCTCAACCTGTCCAGCCAGACTGGGAATGAGGCGGCTCTCCAGGCTGAGAACCCAGCCCACACATCACCACGTCCATCTTGAAGCTGGGGTGGCCCCCAAACCACAGACTGGTCCCACTTCCCTGTTGGGAAAAGGGGCACAAATCCTTCTAGATCCCACCCAATGCCTGGCTGATGACACCCCCAGAGCTCCCCCAGGCTCTCCTAGGAAGAGGCCCCTGTGGAGAGAGCCCAGACTCACTGGAGCCCAGCCTAGGGGGAGCCCCCTCCCTGGTCACAGCCAGGCCCTCAGGGCTAAGTCAGGAGGCTGTAGCAAGCCCTCTGGACTCCGGGTTTTAGAAGAGAAGACCCTGTGATTGGCGGTGGGAAGGGGCCCATGGCAGAGGCCCCACTCTGGGACCAGGAGACAGAGCCACTGGGGTGGTGGAGGGCAGTACTGCCTGGTGGACAAGGGGAAAGAGCTGACCTCCGCTCCTCCAGACAGAGCGAGCTTTCCGGACCATTGATTCTGGGCTAACATGGGCTGGCAGTGCTGCACTAGCTTGCCCATCTGAACCTGTGACAGGCTGACAGCTTCCTTTCCACTTCCTGGTGGGGACTGGCCCGCACTTCAGCAGCCCAAGCACAGCCTAAGGCGTTCCAAAATCCAGGGGAGCCGCCTTCACCTTCTGGAAGGTCTGAGCCTGGGCTGAGGGCTCAGTGTGTTGGGGAGCTGTATCGGGCTGGGCGTGAGGCAGGGTGGGCCCGTGCTGGGGGACATGCTTGTGCACCTCCCACCTTCCCCACAGTGAGCCCCAGAACTCTCTCTTCCTCCTCCTCCTCCACTTTCCTATCGGGGACGACAGACCCAGGCAGCACTGGGGGGCGGGGGATGGGGGGGAATGAGAAACACAGAACTCACAGTAAAACCACCACCCAGCAGGGCAAATGACCAAGACCTTCCTTTTAAAGTTTTCAGTCAACAAGAAGCAATTTTCCCCATCGACTGGAGCTGGTGGGGCAGAGAGACTCCACTGACCGAGGGGCTGTGAGTGTGCACGAACTCAGGTTCCATACAGTAGAGCCGAGACTTTGGGTCCTCCCAGTCCTCGGGGGCAGGCCAGACCCTCTCAGGCCCCTGCCACAGCTCACGAGGCCGACAAGGAGGGAAGTCTGGGGCAGATGGGCGCCCTGGGCCTGAAGGATGGGGCCCCAGGAACCAGAGACCCCACTGTTCTGAGTGCTGCAGCCTCACCCAAAGTCAGGGAACATCCAGAGGCCGGGCGCCGAACCAGCCTGGCATACGGTGGGC